TCTATGCGCGTCTTGGAGCGCTCGCGGGCCGTCTTGGGCGGTCTCGAACTGTTCCTGGCGGTCCCAGGGGCCCTCCGGGACGCTTCGGACGCTCCCGGGGGCGCCCTGCACCCCCATGGAGATTACTGGCACCGCCCCGGGCCGAGATGACAGGCACCGCCCCGGGGCCCTACTCCGATATATATATATATATATATATATATATATATATATATATATGTAATAATATACATATATAGTAGATGTGTGTATATATATATGAATATACATATACAAATGCATATACATACACATACACATATACATATACATATACCTACATATATACATGTACATATACATATGAATATACATATACAAATGCATATACATATGCATATACATATACATATACATATACATATACATATACATATACATATACATATACATATACATATACATATACATATACATATACATATACATATATAGATACATATACATATACATATACATATATACATATATATACATATATACATATATACATATATACATATACACATATATACATATACACATACATATACATATACATATATGGGGAAGAAATTAAAATACGTGGAAAGAAGTGGCACGATTCGGGAGGGCTTGGGGGAGGGGTACATAGGTATATATATATATATATACATATATGGGAAGAATTTGAAATACGTGGAAGGAAGTGGCACAACTCGGGAGGGCTTGGGGGAGGGGTATATATGTACCGCATAGACCACCCTTCGGGTGATAAGGAGGCGAGGGGGGGGGACCACCGTCGCACTCGATCGATCTCACTATCGATCTCGCTATCGATCTCATTATCGATCTCATTCGATCAATCTCACAATCGATCTGGCTATCGATCTCACACTCGATCTCACTAACGATCTCACTATCGATTTCACAATCGATCTCACAATAGATCTCACAATCGATCTGGCTATCGATCTCACGATCGATCTCACATTCGGTCTCACGATCGATCTCACTACCGATACCACTATCGATCTCATTCGATCGATGTCACAATCGATATCACAATCGATCTCACATTCGGTCTCACTATCGATCTCACTATCGATATCCCAATCGATCTCACAATCGATCTCACAATCGATCTGACTATCGATCTCACTATCGAACTCACTATCGAAGTCATGATCGACCTCTCGTTCGATCTCACTATCGATCTCACTATCGATATCACAATCAATATCACAATCGATCTCACATTCGGTCTCACTATCGATCTCACTATCGATCTCACTATCGATCTCACATTGGGTCTCACTATTGACCTCACTATCGATATCACAATCGATCTCACAATCGATCTCACATTCGGTCTCACTATCGATCTCACATCATCACCACCCATCATCATCACCATCATCATCATCGTTTGTCACAGCTAGAAGGACATGATTAACCGGGGGGCATCACATCGTCATCATCATCATCATCATCATCATCATCAATCATCACCATCAACCATCACCTCATCATCAGCATCATCATCATCATCATACTCTCACCGACGGGCACACCGACTGCACACCGTCGGGACACCGCGGGGCCCCGGCCGCCCGGAAGGGAGACATTTGGTCCAGCCGCGCCTCAGCCACACGGGACACCAGCGGGACACCGGCGGGACACCGCGGGCCCCCGGCCGCCCGGAAGGGAGACATTTGGTCCGGCCGCGCCTCAGCCACAAGAGACTTTCTTCTCGCCCGCCAGCGCAGCTTCGCCTCGCCCGCACGCACGGCACGCACGAACACGAAACCGAAAGCGATTTCCCGGTAGGGGGGCTCTCCGTTCCACTTCGATCTCACCCCCTCACCTCCGATATATATATATATATATATATACGTATATATAGAAACATACGTAAGACATATAGGAATGTGTACACAGGAGAAGGACAATCTATATAAACATAGGTACGTCGTCCAAGACGCCTCGGAAGGCGCCTCGGAAAGCGCAGAATACTCCTCCAAGGCGCGGAATCATGTTCCCGGACCGCCTTCCGGGAACATGATGGGGACGACCTCCTGAGGGCCTCCAGTGGGCCTCTTGGGGGCCTCTCGGAGGCCTGTTGGGCTCTCCTGGAGGCGTCTTGGGGCGCGCTCAGGGCCATTGTTGGGCATCTTCGGGGCCTCTATATATGGGGAAGAAATTGAAATACGTGGAAGGAAGTTGCACGACTCGGGAGGGCTTGGGGGAGGGGTATGTGTATATATATATATATATATATACATACATGCATACATACATACATACGTACATACATACATACATACACGTACACATACAAATGTACATGTGTATATATACATAAATAGATATATACATTATATATAGACCCATACGTAACACATGTAGGACTGTGCACACAGGAGAAGGACAATCTATATAAACATAGGTACGTCGTCCAAGGCGCCTCGGAAGGCGCCTCGGAAAGCGCAGAATACTCCTC